TTCTCAACCTCAAGCACGCAGCTCATTGCAGCATGTGTTGATCGATCTCCGCCGAGGAGTTCCCTTCGAATACCAACAACCTGACAAATATTTCATGGGGCTGCAAGATCGAGTCTCTCGAAAGAGCCTTTATGCAGTGGCACTGGCTTTCGGACTTGGCCGTTCGTCCCCATAATAAGGATATCCGGCAAGTTGACATTGGCAGGCATGGCCTACAACGTAACCGCCATCCTTCGACTTGTTAACAAAGTTAACGGAGTCCGAAATATGTAAATAATGAAGTTTAGGTGTGAGATATTTGAATTGTTATGGTTTGTGTGGTATGTATGTAAATCCCCCTAAAGAAAAAACAGTAGAGCCTTACATCAAAAATACTATCATATTCCTCTAGTAGAGTTGTGACGATGGCCTGAGCATTGTTTGCAGCATTTGCAGCAGCCAAAAGCTGAGCAGAACTACCTCCATTTGCATCAAAGTCATCCTCTAATTCACATTCACCAGCAAGAAGTGGACGCAGCAACAAAGGTGCCATACAAGCAGCAACAGCAGATGGAGTCATCCGATTCTCAGTAGTATGCAAAGCAATTGTGTGCATCATTTTCAAAACCCTTGATCAAAAATAGCAAGCAATTTGAGATTGTAAGTCAAGAAATATAATATCATGGATAGATCAGGTCAAAATATTAAAGTAAAGGATGGAAAGAGAACTACCTCAAATAGAAACTAAGTTCTAATGATGGCAAATGTATATTAAGCAAATAACCAATACAGATCTGAAAAACGTTTTCATAGGCTGATATATCATCAAGTCATTGTAAGAAAAAGTATATTCCAAAATCACGCATCAACTGCCCTATAAAAAGAGAAAAATGGATCAAATATCCTAAATCAGTTAAGAAAGCTTACCCATTGTGATCAGAAAAACAAGCCAATATTTTTTATATTATATTTAAATTTAAAAATATTGGAGTCAGTCAGCTCAGAAAACAATAGAATGGAGAACAATTGAATTTTGAGAAAAGCCAAGAACCAAAAAAGTTTCAAATGTCTAAAATCAGCTAAAAAAAAAACGTACACATTGTATTCTGAAAAATATGCCAATGTTTTCCTAATTTTATTTTAGAAAAATTGGTGCCACTCAACTCAGATGAAAATAGGATTGAGAACAATTCAATTTTGAGCAAACACAAGGGTGGCTTGAAATCGAATAGAATGAAATAAAAGTGCATCGAAGTCAAATTGTTGATCGATTGTACTTCATTCTGAGCCAGCATGAATCAAATTAGATCAAATGCAAGCTGGCTCGTTTTGATTTCAGATTATCTCAAAATTAATTAATTTTTTTTATTTTAAAACACTCAAAATACTACTGAAATGTTATCAGAAATAGTAAAAGCAATTTATTATGGTGACTGACAACAATAAACAAAATAAAAAGAAAATGTAAACTGAGATGTTTACAAGAAATTAAACAGATTCTCAAGTAAATTAAAGTCCATGTACAATCAAAGCTCTTAATAAAATCATTCTCAATCTACAACACAATTTCTGTCTAATCATGCAGCATCAATCTACAAAAGCAGAAAACTACTACTTTTTACATAAAGTTTGCACATTTTTTCTTCCAATTTTGATGTCAGATCAGAAGACACCCCATTCGTACGAAATCTCAAAGCCAGAGAAACAAAAATCTTAAGAAAATGAAGCCATTTAAGTAAAAAAAAAATTACATAAAGATTAAAATTTTAGTTCTATAATCACTAAAAATGAAATCATTTTTAAAATGATATTTCTAATTTTGTGATCATAAAAAACTGAGACATAAAAATAAAGCATTAAGTAACCTTTTCAATATCATCAACAATTGGATCAAAAAATATTTCATTTCCCCTTATCCTCTGGTTTCATGCAATGATTAGTCCTAGAATACCTACATATATGAGATATGTTGCAATGTTTTTTTTTTTTTTTTTACATGATTTAACTCATAAATTACATGTCATTCTCAATAGTTTTTTATCTTCTTTTATCACAATAATTGATTAAAATACTTCCAAACATTTGATCCAAGTCTTTTGCCCTTCTGCTCCTAAAAAAATGTAACACTTTCTATAAGATTAGACGTATTGCCAACTGGAAGATGACATGAACTGCAACCAAATTAATGTTCCGAATGGCTGGACAATGCATCTATGAGAAACTGTATCATTTAAGTTACTGATGCGGCAAAGTGAAGAATTAAAAACAGCAGTAAATTGAAGGACTGCAATATGAAGGAAACTCACGCCTCATATGAAGAATTAAAGACATCAGGAAATAGAATGAATTCTCATGACAAATATAATGATTCAGGAAAATGCAATAAACCAAGCTTCCAAAATAGAAACTAAGCACTGTGAACGATAACAATAATCATAACAAACTTTCATCTCAAGCATCCAGCAATCATACTTCCCATAATGTATGTTAGTCTCAGGCTATCAAACATTCAAATAGGAGATATCTCAAGAACATTAATCATTAATTCATTATAACAAAATAAAGAATCACTTTGTATCAACTAATTTACAAAATAGATATAATAGAAACAAGGCAAATCAGAAATGAAAGAACGTATCCAAGAAATTGTTAATACAAATCAAGGCAACGAATAACGCCCTTCTAAGGTTTGTCACCTCCACTGGGAGATGAATGGAAGAGAGCCGAAATGAAAGAACAATGACCATAGTCAAAAACAACAGCAACGGATAGAAAAGTCTAGAAGAGGGAAAGGACAAAAGAGGAGGGAATCAGGCTTAGGGCTCGTGCTTCTCAGGGTAAAAAACACAATTGAAAGTCTTTGAGTGAGAAAAGAAATGAACAGGGGGGTACTGATAGCTCTTCGATCTTTATGAAATAAAATGGGAGAATGGTTGAGAGTTTTACTCTGAGCCATTCAAATTTAATCAAAAGGCCCAAAAATAAAATGATTTTGAGTACATACGCAAAATATGTGGCAAAAGAAGCTTTCTTATAGAAATATTACAAAACTAAATTATATCAAATTTTAAATGATTTTTATTTTAAATTCTTCTATTGATCGTTTCTCCACCTCCAATCGAACTTGGATCGAAAATTACGACCATCAAATTATTTTGCTAATGGATCCACTTATGCGCTTTGAACCAAGAAAAATTTCAACAAAAAATCAAATCGGTCTATGGCTTTTGAACCAAACTCTCAGATAAAAAAAACCAAGAAAAATTTCAACAAAAAATCAAATCAATTTTTGACCGATCTATGGCTTTTGAACCAAACTCTCAGATAAAAAAAATAATAATTGAAGACAATAAAGGGCGCTGCAGGAAGCCAAAACTCAAAACAAAGAAAAATTGCAAATTAAAGTTCAGCTCCAAACCATTCACATTGTTTCTTAAACTAACACCAAGCTAATTGCGAAAAAAAATTGTCCCGTCGATTTCTTTACTAACTATATTGCAAATATACTCCATAATCAAGGTTGGTGCTCAAGTCTAAGGTAGTATCCCTCAAGAACACATCCCAAGGAACCAAATTTTATCAATTTCGGGGTAATTAATATAAAGTAATAGTTCAATCCAATACCAATGAGCATATTGGCATTCGCATGCCAACATTTTAGCATCTATAATAGACAATTGTAATGGAAAACTTTAAGATCAAGTTGTGTACATGCAATAATTTTTAAGGGGTTACAGGAGATATTTCTGGCATTAAAGAGTAATAACTAAAGGCTATACTGATATCTTTATGCAAGCCAGATCAATGATTAACCAATATAACAAGAGGTTACCTAGCTCATCAATAGCAATAATTTCTGTTTTCAATCAAAATATTAGGAAAATGTTCATATTCATAATGAAAGAATTCATCCAATATTATAAAAAGAGTGTTATAGTTGGTTCGAGCATGCATTTAGATCATTCATGTATCCTAAATTTGTTAGCTGAAAAAAAGATGAATGAATGCAAACCAAATGCAGATTTTTTTAATAAAACAAATAAAATGTAAAAATTAAAACATCTATACAAAATAAGCTCTTAGAAGACCAAATAAAGACCAAATACATCATACCAAGAAAAAATTGAACAGGAAGTACCTCTGCAATAGCTTACGATTTGGTTCTGGAAATGTGTTCACTATTGCAGAACGCATTTCTTTCAAACGATCTTCCCTAAGTTCGAATCCTAGATAATAAGAAAAAATAATAATAATGAGTCGCAAAATAGTTCAACATCAGATTGCACAAGGGCAAAATGTTATTGTAGAAGGCAAATATTATAAGAACATCATCAATCTGTTTTTTTAATGTTCCATTTTGTCATCCTAGAAAGAACAAATACCAATTTAAATTTGAGAAGGTAAACAGCAGGCTGCTTCTAGGCTTATTCATCACGTGGTTATTTGTGTACAATTTAACAAACATTCCCTAGAAACTTTAGGGCACATGCATAACTTTTACAAAAGAGTTTAAATATAACAAACATACCATCAAAAATAAGAAAGAAATGCAACTGCAAAACTTAAATAAAACAGCTCAATGAGCAGGATCTAAAAATACAAAAAGTTGCCCTATATGCCAACATAAATATGCATATAAAAAAACTGAAGCAAAGTAAATATGTCATTTGAATACACAAGCGCCAAGATATAAGTTTGTGTGTGTGTGTGTGTGTGTAATTCACCAATGACTTCACTACTCGGAAATAGATATACACAAAACCTCCACAAAATAGCAACAATGACTTCACTACTCAGAAATAGATATACACAAAACCTCCACAAAATAGCAAAAACACATATTGCAAATAAAAAGTTCAAATAGAACTTATGGGATGATAAACTGCTATCCGTATTCTCAGTGTTTTATGAAAGAATGCAAGTAACAGAAAATTTTGGTCAGTTCACAAATTCAAATTCATGGTAATTAAAGCATGTTAGGTAATATCACAGAAGATAATCAGTATACTGGTGAATTATAACAACTTCGGTAGTTAGTGTTGGTCACACTGTGATAACATAAAGTTAGCATGATACTATAGCATGGGAGTTGAAACATTTCAAAGATAAAGACCAATACATTAAGGATTTTTGCGGGATCAAATGCTATTAGACGTTCAGTAAAAACTTTATTATTAATTTGCAACCCAGGAACTCAAAGAAGTCTCGAATTATTTTTTTTTCACTAGTCCGTTTGTGAAATTATTTTAGTGCTAACGTGCTCAAAGGTTCTTCAAGGAAAAAAAACAAATCCCATCGACTTTTGTAAACAGGTTTATTATTGAATGAAAGGAGTTACTTGGCTACGAATAAATTCCAACCCTCTACATGTCGACAATCCCTTCCTTTTGTATGATAAAAATTCAGCACTAATTTAGATGCTTTGAAGATTGAATAGTAACAGCTTGAGAAATTAGTGAAAGTTTCTACCCAATTTGGTCCTTCACAGTTCTCGGTCAAGAAGTCAAAAAGAAATTATCATGCATTTATAACCCTTCTGATATCAATAATATTATCCTACTTTATTCCCGAAACCTACATGATATCAGAGCTAAGGGATCTTGCCCTTGCCTCCGAGATCTTATCCTAGCTGCCGGAACCTCCCCTGCAGGCCTACCACGGCAATTTTTCTTGCAGCCAGACCTCCCTTCCCAGCCGAATTGCTTCCCTGAAGTTTTCTGCAGTTTTTTCCTGCCTCTGGATGTTCTTCCTGCCCAGCTATACTGCTAAAGTTTTTCTTCCTGCAGCTGGACGTTATTCCTGCAGGCTGTACCGCCAGATCCCTTCCCCAAAACACCCTCAGAGTTCCTCGCTGCAGTCCGACCTCTCCCCTGCAGGACCTCCTGTTGCCGGATCTCCCTCCAGCCGGCTGTATATACCACTAGAAACCTCTTGTGCTGAAAGCCTAGTAAAGGATCGTCTTCGTTTATGTCTCAGCATCCGAACCTCACATTTAGCTCCGTCGGAATCATGGCGGACTCCACCTCCAAGATTCCTTCTAATAGTGCCTTTGAGCCTTGCGGAGGATCGACACCTGCCTCTATCCTCCCGCAGACCAGAGGGCATGAAAATCACAATAACTTCCAGATTACAACCCACAAACTCAACGACTCTAATTTCCTCAAATGGTCTCAAGCAGTATCGTCATTTGTCAAGGTAAATTCAGCCAACTTACAGGTATGATTTGTGAACCTCTAAAGACTTACCCAACATATGCAGCATGGGAAGTAAGAACTCAATGTTTATGGCATGGCTAATTAATTCCATGAAGACCTCGATTGGTCGTTCTTACCTATTTCTTATAACTGCAAGTGCCTTTCGGGTTATAGTTCGCAATAGCTACTAGGACGTAGACAATTTTGGACAACTCTACGAGGTGTCGAATGAGATCCGCGAGGTAAAACATAGGTCAAAGACAGTGACATAGTACTAGAATGATTTGGTTTCCTTATGGATGGAATGTAACATCTACTATGACTATATGTAGGACACTCTCGTGGATCTCTCTCTTCAAAAAAAATTCTGAAAAAGAATCGTGTGTTTCAAAACCATTCAGCCAGCCCACACTTATAACATCCCTGACTCTCTTCAAAAAAAATTCTGAAAAGAATCGTGTGTTTCACAACCATTCAGCCAGCCCACACTTATAACATCCCTGAATCACCAAATTCCATCAATAGAGTCCAATGGAACACTTAAAGCTGCTTGGATCCAGTCAGCTATCCTCAAGCCTGTCAACCTCCCACGTTAGTCAAGGTAACCTTTCTATGGAACTAATTGATCCTTTTTCTAATTCATGGATTATTGATTCAGGTGCCACGAATCACATGAACGGGTGCTCTCAAGTTTTTTCGACATATTCTCTGTGCTCAAGGTAAGACTATTAAAATTATCGATGGCTCCTGTAATTCTATTGCAACCCAACATTTGCTCAAGAGCAACCTCTTATCATTCAATAATTTGACATATGACCTTGATTGTGTTGTTCATTTCACTCCTGATGTTCGCATCTTTCAGGATCATCGTTTGGAGAGGAGGATTGGAACTACTAAGCAGGTAGCCAAGCTCTAATTCTAAGAATATGGCATTGATGATGCTAATACTCAATCGCGTAGTTGTAATTTTTCCATTTTTAGTGCTTGTCCAATTATGCTATTATATTGTCTCTTGGGTCCTCCTAATTTTCACTATTTAAAACAATTGTACCCCCTAATATTTATTGATATGAATCCATCTATTTTTAAATGTGAAATTAGTCATTTAGCAAAATACCATCGTGTTCCATATCCGCCCTACCGTTACACTCATTATTTTCTATTTTCACTGATTCATAGTGATTTATGGGGACCCTCTCGAACTGCAAGCTACACTAATAAATGGTGGTTACTCTAATTGATGACCACAATCGAATAACGTGAATCTATATATTAAAAGATAAATCTGAAGCTGCAGTCACCTCCAAAAACTTTTATTCTTTCATTTTGACCCAATTCAAAACCTTCATTTAAGTCCTTCGGTTCGACAATGGTAAGGAGTACTTTAAGTCTATTTTAAGAGAATTCTAAGTAAGGGCATCCTCTACCATAACTCTTGTATGGATACTCCAAAACAAAATGAGATAGCCGAGTTGAAAAACCGACACATTCTCGAAGTGGCTCGTTCTATTTTGTTTCAAACTAATGTCCCTAAATGATTTTCATATGGTGTTGTCCTTACCACAACATATCTCATTACAAAGTTCTCACAAAAATTCACAATTTTTCAGATCCCACTATCCATCTTAATGTCGTGTTTTCCTATCAATTGGTTCTTCACCACATTATATCCCAGAATATTTGGGTGCACAGCTCTTGTTCGCAAAACTACACCGACACAGAATAAACTTGATCCCCGCTTGATTAAATGTGTTCCTCGGCTATTCAGCCAAACAAAAAGGCTATAAGTGTTTTGATCCTACCACCTGTAAAATATATTGAGTGTCGATGTCACTTTTTTGAAATTATACCCGACTTCCCTCGCACTATCTAGAGTGAGGGGAAGCTAGATTTGTTGTATGTTGTTCATTTTCTTACTCCGTTGGATATTCTACCTACTCCTACAACCTTTGTGACTGAGAAACCCTCAGTCCCACTAGATCCATCACCAACTAGACCAACATCACTTCCATCCACTCTACCTTTCTATACTCGATGTATCAAACTCACGGTTGAGACTCGTCCCAATGCCCCCACACTCGAGCCCGCTACCTCGCAACAGATCTTGGAATCCGCTCAGGCCGACATCCTTGTAACGATGCTCTCTCAACTTATGGGGATCACTCCTCTAAATGAGGAGTTGAATTCCCCCTTTGAGATACATAAACAGGCATGCACTTTTTATCCCTTCGCAAAATGTCTGATTCCACAACTCTCCAACCTGCAAAGCCTTTGCCACTTAATTGACGAATCATTGTCTCCCATCTACTATTGAGGCAACATTGGCTAACCTGACCTGGAAGTCTGCAGTCATGGCTTAGATGAATTCCCTTTGAAGCAACCATACATGGGATGTTGACGATCTTCCACAAAAAGAAAAGCAATTGGTTGCAGGTGGATTTTCAGCATTAAATCTAACCCTGATGAATCTTTTGAAAGCAACAAGGAACGGCTGGTTGCTAAAGGCTATTTAAAGACATATAGAGTTGATTATGAAGAGACGTTTGCTCTAGCGGACAAACTAAATACCATTCGGGTTCTGTTATCCCTTGTCGTGAATTTGGATTGGCTTTTACTCAAGTTGGATGTCAAGAATGAATTCCTTAATGGTGATCTTACAAAAGAGGTGTATATGTCTCTCCCATCGGAATTTGACTCAACCTCTTCCAGTGGACAAGTGTGTCGACTACGGAAGTTTATTTATGGATTGAAACAATCCCGTCGGGCTTGGTTCATCAAGTTTATACAAGTTGTTGTGGGTCATGTTTTATTGCAGGCCCAATCTGATCAGAAGATATTGTTCTGCCACTCACCCGATGACTGTATTGTCATCCTCATTGTCTATGTCGGCGACAACATACTCATCGATAATGATCTGCCGACTTTGAAATATCTCAAAACTATCCTTGCCATATCTTTTAAAATGAACTTGGATTCCTAGTTCTCTAATATTTACTAGGTATGAATGTAGCTCGATCCTCTCGGTGCATTAA